ATTCTATTCTATTCTATTCTATTAACTTGTCGTGAAGTAAGTTTAAAGTTACAGAGAAACAGCAATTAATTATTTTTTATGGAAGAATCGGCAACTGTTCATTTATTAATTTGCTCAATTACTCACCTCCCCGTTGAAGAAGCAGAATATTGTCGAAACCAAGAGACCCTGAATAAAACAAAGAAAGTTTATTACGTAAAATATGTGCTAATATTAACATTATTATGCCTCTTTCTCCGATGCATGGACTGACCTGGTAGTGCATCAGGATGTTCATGATGTAGTGATAGATCTCAGAGTGGCCATCAGGTTTATATGGGAGCAGGACAAACTGGATACCGAGAAGAGGGATGAGAATGAGGGTGGCTCTCACAGCCCTCATGTAGAGGCTGGATTCGGCCTGGTGTGTCACTCGCAGCTTGGTGATGAGAACCCGAACGATGTTCAGCAGAAAAAAAAGGTTCACCTGGAGTCAAAGTAGGCACACACAACTTTTTATTGAAATATCAGACGCAGATTAAAAGGACAGGATAGTTCTTATCAAGTCAACACCGAAAGAAAACCTGTGCCAGACCTTCAGAAAGCCTGCTCATAAAGCAAAATACATAGCGCACAAGATATAAGGACAATAGGTGGTTCTAGAGTTTTATAAATTAGTGTATATAGTGAAGTACACCATCTTAATTCCTTATGACAGCTTCCACAATTTTACCTCTTTACCAGATAGATGTGTTGTTTTTTTGTAAATTTCTTTTGACCCCTGCCTTCTTTAACATACCTTTGCCTCCAAGTCCATACTTTCTTCTTAATACAGCTTGAATTATTTTGTGCATTGTATATCATCAGTGCAATGTTTACATCAAGTAAACTGAAAATTGTCAAAGTTTGTTGGTCATAATTTACTTTAGCATATAAAGTGGTATTGTTTGCTTTCAATGCAGTTGGTATGGAAGTACTGGGAATCAATGAACTGGTTCTTGTGAAGTGCTTTTCTACTCCACATAAGTACTCAAAGATTGGAAACGCGTCATTCACCCATTTACCTCTTTTCATATGCTCCGTTCTATATAACATTAACACTCGCAAGCAACTTGGAGCTAGCATCTTGTCCAAGAATATTTGAATAGCCAGAGATCAAATCCCCAACCTTTCATTTAGTAAGTGAGCTACTGTACCCTCTAAGCTACAGCCACCCAGGTTATTTCTGCATGAGACAGATTCAACAAAGTGCTGGAAACACTCCTCAGAGATTTTGGTCCATGTTGACATGACAGTATGACACAGTTGCTTTAGATTTATCAGCTGCACAGCCCAAAGATGCTCTGTTGGATCGAGGTCTGGTGGCTGTGCAGGCCACTAGAGTACAGTGAACTTATTGTCATGTTCAAGAAGACTGAGATGATCTGAGATTTTTTTATTCTGCAGTCATCAAAAAATGTGTGCACTGTGGTCATAAAGGGATGGACATGGTCAGCAGCAATACTTTGGTGCTTAGGGGCCCAAATGTGCAAAGAAAATATCTTGAATATCATTACACCACCATCAGCAGCCTGACACATTGATGTAAGGTGATCCTATAAGGATGGATTGTAGACTCGGTTTCCTGTTCTTAACTGACAGGACAGACTGGTGTGGTCTTCTGCTGCTATTAAGATGCTCTCCTGCGTACCTTGGTTGTAACAAGTGGTTATTAGAGTTATTTTCCTCTTCCTGTCAGTTCAAAGCAGTCTGACCATTCTTCTCTGACCTTTGACATCAACAAAGTATTTTCACCCAGAGAACTGCCGCTAACTGGACATTTTCTCTTTTTCAGACCATCATGGTTCTTTGGGAAAATCCCAGCAGATCAGTAGCTGCCGAAGTACTCAGACAAGCCCGACTAGCACCAACAAACACGTGAAACAGAGTTTAGTACTCACCACCAATGCAGCACAGATGGGTCCATGGATAATGTAAAGCAAGGAAGTGTTTATGGTGCACCTGTGAGGGAACAGATCAGATCATTATATCCAGATGGGATGGGAACACGTGATATCTGTTGAAAGGATGTGTGAATCCAAAGACTCACTTGTCACTGTAGTAAAAGTTACGCGCTATTGAGTATATCACTGCCGGCATGATTGGAAAGCCTGTGAAATCAATAATGTTGAGTGACATTTGTGTTTGATAGCCAGGAAGTATGCACGCATAAATATTCACATGTCTTTAACTTACCCCAACCCAGCAGATAATACCAAAGGAGATGCTGTTCTTCTGCAAACACAGCCACAACTATCAGAGTATGCAGGTAGATGCCCTCACAAAGCATCCAGAAGTAGTTACAGCTCATCAGGTACATATGGATGAACTCCATCAGTGTGCAGCTTATCTGAAGGAAAACAAAACGTGTTTTTACACGACTCAAACAAATGGAGCCTGAGTTACTATCCAATATAAAAGGTGGAAAAGCAGGTCACTCACAGAGTCAGCATATTTGTGTCCTTGCTTCGCTAACATTGTGAGCACAATAACGGTCGCAATCGAGTTAAGTATGAAGGAGAGAAAGAGGTTTTTGTGGAGAGTTATCCTTTGGCAGCTCAGACTCCTGATGGTTATTAGAAAAGAAGACACATTAGATTTTTACTTTTGAATCACAGATTTGTCCATAAGGTCACAACAAGCACCACTGAGACACCGACCCCATCTCCCCAGTCAAAACAGGTCCAGGCATCATGCCAAAAACTGCATCAGAAATGGTCGGATGTTCATGCATAGATGTATATTGTTGCAATAAGGAATGCATTTTGTAATTTATTATTATTATTATTATTACTTAGGGATTTCTTTCTAACAATTTCGGGCACTTTCAGATGTCAGCTTGATAGCTTTTAAACAGCTGTTAACTGCTGTGAATGTGCAAGATCTAAATCTAGTTTCTCCTGCATTGAAAGTTAGTAATAACAAACTAATAATGCTATCTACTACTTGGGTTTCTAAATGGCCCTGATGAGATAGGAAAATTAAATGTATTAAAGCTACCAAGAAGAAAAACAATCTATGGCAATTTAAATTGTGGAGATTTAAGGGAATAAAAAACAGAATTTAGCAAATTCTATGGGACATGAAATACTGGGATTGAAAGTTTGAAAACTTTTTAGTAATTAACCTTTTCTTTAATTTAAGTCCCAAGACTTTTCAACACATTTATGCAGTTAACATAAATTTACAATGAAACTTGGTCTCATTTGTTGTATGTGACTTGTCTCCATTGACTCCTTGCTTTCTGTTGTCAGCATTACAAGCCTCTGCTACTTATTACAAAACAATTCAGAGTGAAAATGCAGAGAAGATGGGTACACTGTTATCATATAGGGGAAAGACATTGTCAGCAACAATACTCAGGAAGGCTGTGGCGTTTAAAAGATGCTCAGTTGTTACTAAGTGGCCCAATATATGGAAAGAAAATACCCCCACACCATGACACCACCACAAGCCTGAACTGCTGATATTAGGAAGGATGGATGAAAGCACGGATATGCTTTCATGTGGTTTTCATCATTCTGACCACACCATGTTAATGTCAAAGCAGGACTCATCAGACCAGGCAACATCTTTCTTTTTCTTCTCTTATTGTCCAATTTTGGTGAATTGTAGCCTCAACCTCGTGTTCTTAGTTGACAGGAGTGGCTTACAACTGCTGCTGCAAATCATCTGTCTCAAGACTGAGGTGTTTTTCTGCATAGCTTGGTTACGACAAGTGGTTATTTGAGTTATTGTTGCTTTCTTAGCAGCTTTAAGCACTAAAGCCATTCTTCTCTCAAGACATCGTCACCCAGAGAACTGAAACAGACCCCCCCCCCCGATCACTCTATGTAAACTCTAGAGATTGCTGTGTGGCAAAAAGCTGAGCATTTTCTGAAATACTCAGTCCCACCTGTCTGGCACCAACAACCATATCACATTCAAGTTACTTAAATGAGCGATCCTCAGTTTTCACTTCAGCAGGCACGTCTACACGCCTAAATGGATTGAGTTGCTGCCACGTGATTTGTTGCCAAGATATTTGCTTTGCATTTGAGTTCTGTACCTAATAAAGTGGGTGTACAAAATCTTAACTAATCACAGTAAGAGCAATACAAAAGATAAAATATAAAATAATATACTATAAAATATAAACAAGAACAGTGCCAGACTTACTTGAAATGGAAAAAAATTCCCAGTGAAATCAGCAAAGACAGCAGCGAAAGTCCGTGACCGATCATAACCAAGTAGAAGTGAGTCATTGTTGCCTGCTACAAAACACAATACATACAGGTTTGCATTAATTATTGGCTATCGACTTCTATTGAGCTTTACTGATTTTATTGTACTTTGTTCACTTTTACCTCTCCGTGATGTGTGAAGTTGGCTTTGCAGTTTGTGTAGTTGGTCCACGTCCTGTTGCTCTCCGGATGCCGTGCCCACTCTCCAGTCTCTGTGCAAACTTTTTGAGCCATCACTGTGATCAGATTTGAAAATAAATCGTCATTTTATTATGTTGATACTTTGGGACTGTTGAGTTTAAACAGAAGGTGGACAGCAGAGGGGGAGAGTGCCATCAAGCTAAAGGAGGAGTCCAGGCTTGGTAACCCTGTGGGACTTCAGAAGCAGCTGACAGGTACCGACAGGCCATGCAGGATGTAGCCCAGGCAGCAGCCGAAGCTTTAATTCAAACTGCATAAAAGTTCAAATAATTTATTGATTGACTGATCGATACCGTTCTTAGCTATGTCTATAGTGATTTTACAGCTCTCAGTTTAACAACCCTAATGACATAAAGGAAAAATAATGTGAACGCTCAAGGTTAATGACGTTATATGAAATCACAGAGGGCACAGAGATTTACCGTGTGTATCAAAATCATCAAAGTAGTCTGGACAGTTCTGCTCTTTAACGCCAGCTTTAGTTTCATCCCAGCACAGCCAGCCGTCCCACGTCATGTTGCACATCGGCTCCGCTAACAGAGGCAGAAGACAGACCGGCAAAATCACGTTAAAGAAGAAAGGCATGAAAGTTCAGTTCTGCTTTTCCTTTCATTTTAATTATTTTTATAGTCATATTAACAGATTTTAGTACTGTAATACAAAATACACAATTCTTTAGGTACATATACAGATTATACCTGCAGCATTTACTGCATTTATGCAGAACTTTTACATGCCATTGAGTATTTTTATGGTGTGATACTGTGCATGTCTACCACTGCTCACCAGTCGTTTTTGTTTTGTGCTGCGACTCTGTTATCCTCTGGAAACATCTGTACTGGGCCATGGTGATTTTAGACAGTCTCAACAGATCTCCATGGTTCACTGAATGATTCGCTGGTTCCTTGTGAGCGTCTTTAGCTGTTGCCTCCACCAGCATCTGGAAACACAAAATTTGCAAATGTCAAAAATGTGTAATTCAACCATTCGAGCTGGTGTTCCTCAACTCGTCCCATCCTGTTTATCTCTCATACGGAGAACCTATTCCATAAAGCACCTTTCATGCTATACTCAAAGCAAAATAGTTGACTTTTTATACATAATTTAGCCATCTACTCAACTGTTATCCCATACGTTTAGCTTGGAAGTTATACTCTTACAGTAAAAAGCTTTAGTTGCCAGACAGAGTTTCTCACATTGGACTCTATTGGGCTGTAAAACAAGCTCATATCATGACCCCTCCACCACTGTGCTGACAGCTGGTATGAGGTTTTTGGCTTTGTGCATTATGGCCAATCATCGCCACTGGTCTCATCTGTTCAAAGGGCACTGTTCCAGAAGTTTGGTGGTTTGTTCCGGTGCAGCTTTACAAGCCTAAGCCGAGCTGTTGTGTTAGTTTTAGAGAGAAGACACTTTCTTCTGGTAATCTTTCCAAACAAACCACACTTGGTCATTCTTTTTCTAATTTTAGTGTCTTGAACTTTTACATTTAACGTGCTAACTGTGGCTCCGTTTGTGATAAATAAATACTGACACGATGTAAATTTGTCATGTTGTGAGGTTGTATTTACCTGCTGAGCACGAGAATATTTTTATTGAGAGGTGAAACCCTAGAACCAAAAGAGACTCTGCTTTCTGTTTACTGTGGCTGTGCTCTGACTTGATCTACTACAAGTTCTGTAACTTTAGGGAAGCAACAGTCAATCAAAAGAGCCAAACTTAGCCAATAAAAAAAAGAGTTTACTGTATTTTGACAGAGAGTTGTTTGTTAGAAACAACGAGTTTGCATGAAGTTTATTTTAAATAGCTGAGATTATTTTTCAAATGCAAATTCAACACTCTGTGATACATCTGGGAACATTTATCTGACATTAAAAAAAGGAAAATGCTCTCAAGATATATCATTTATTCCAGCAGGGCCAACTTATCATTTTCTTTACTAAAAAAAACCTTAAAACATCAACTCATGGTGTGACAGTTAATGCTCAACTCATAAATATGTACCAGACTGTTGTCCCTGTTATCAATAGTAAAGGAAAACATTTAAGTACCTTGTTGAGGGAGCACTGGACCAGGAGTAGCACGATGTAGCTCAGATCCATGTGCGCTCTGATCTTCATACGTTTCCTAAAGAAAAGTCACAAGAGTTGCAGCTGAGGAAAGAAATTTCTCCAAAATATGCACACAACATATTACAGGTGCTGGTCGCATACAGATTAAAAGCATAGCCTTTGGACACTCGCCATTAGACTGGACGATATTTTTATACTTCGTTAGATGTTATTTTTATTAGTGTTGGAGGAACAGGTAAAAATGTCACCACTATCCCAAATAGTTTTCTCCCAAAGGCCCAATAATAACAACAACACTTCCTGAGCTGCAGCAGCTGCTGGGCTGATCCAGCACACAATGTGCTGACAGGAGCTGGAAACAAACTCAACGTTCACGTGCTCTGTACTGCCAGGACCATAAAATAACACATTTAGCATTAAAATTTGGTATCTTCGTATTATTATTTTTACTATTAAATTTGTAATTTTGCCTTCTAATTATCTTTCAAAGCCAATATCAGGTCCCCCATCCTTTGAAACTGAGAGGGAAATGCTTGTAGCTTCATGTTTTCAACTTGTAATGAGCAGTCCTCTCCTTTTTTGGATGTTGAGGTTTCAGATTTGACCTGTTGCTTCCTCCGTTCTCCCTTCCTTCCTTCCTGCATGCTTATTAAGCACCGTGAGCAGGTTTAACCAAAGTTTAGCCAGAAGACATCACCACGTCAAATACCTGTACAGTTGGTGTGGCAGAAGCTCTTGAACCTAGTGTGGTTCGTACATTAAAAAAACATGTATCCTTCAGTCAACAAGAAGCTCAGTTTTTCCTGACACATGTAGTGCTGTGCAAACGTCCGGAGCCCCTCATTTCTTTCTATTTTGCTTCCAAGGAGCCAGAAATACATTTTTGGAGGCACAGTGGCTGCCTTCACCCATTTTCAGAAGAATGCTTTTTTTGTTTGTTAAGCTACTTCACAATCATTCAAGCACAAAAAAGTCTCCTAACTCAAGGGATGAACCAGTGTTGTGGCTACATAACACATAACTCAGCAAAGAAACCATTTTAAATTGTATCTTTAGGCACTTTGTTGTTAGCAGCCTGTCACAAAAACACATCGTTTGTTCACATAGCTTTAGTTGAATCTATAAAAAATGCCAAAGATAACACAGTCTGACATAACATTGTATTTTTGCAAGAACAAAGTGATTCTCAAAAGGCTGTTACTTCAAAATTTCAGCATATCTCAGCATATTGTGCAGTGTGTCAGAGGACAAAAGAAGTGGCAGGTCTAAAGAAACAAAACTATCTACAGCAGATGAACAGGATCTGAAAGTCGTGTCATTTCACATACAGTAACAGGAAAAAACCCCAAAGTCCTGCATTTCAGCCAGTGGTGTTGGAGATCTTGTCAAAATAAATGAATTATGAACACAGAAAAGTACCATCGTGCAAAACCATCTTGAAAGCATCTGATTGGCAGCAGCTTCATTTTTTAGCATGACAATCATCCCAAACACACTGCCAATGCAATAAAATCATACTTGTATAGAAAAACACACAGTGGAGCACTATCAGTCATGGATTGGCTTCCCCAAAACCCGGACCCCAACATTACCGGAGCAGTGTGGGATCATGTTGACAGAGAACAGAGCAAAAGGCAGAAACATCCAAAGAAGAGCTTTGAATTGTGCAAACTCTGTTTTTGCCTTACACACTGTAATTACACGTTTGTTACAATAAATCCCTCCACCCATTTCCCATTTTCCTAGAAAAATATAAAGAAACGGGGATTGGCTCATGACTTCTGCACAGGACTGTAGCATAGAAGAAGCTAACATCAAAGCAGCTGCTACTTAGAGATATTTTAATTTAACTACAACAACAACTTTTCTTATGTTTGCAAGACTTTTTTTAAATTCACTTTTTACCTCACTGCAAACTGTGGTTGAACATATGTATAAGAATATATTTAGTATTAAAAAAAATTAATAATGCAATAAAAACTGAAATATTAAATGCAACAGTAAAAACATCAAGGGGAGAGAAAGGTTAATAAATAGAGAAGCAAATTAAAACATAAATATTAAATTTATGTCACATAAATTAATGCCTATAGCCTACAGCTTAAGTAAAAGTAACTTACCATGCCAATTTTGATCTTCACGCAAGCCTTAAAGGGCCAGAAAACTGTACCCTAACAGAAAATATTTTAAATCCTCTTAAATGTCTCTTGCAGATGCTAATAGATGAAGATTCACGTTTGTAACTAAACTAAATAACAGGGTTAAACCTGCTTTGGCAGGAAAAAGTCCAACGTTGAGCTGGGTAGTCTAAAACCAAAGTCTGTGTCTTCGGTGACAAAGGCGTTGCACAATAACTTTAAAGCTGTTGATTACATTAAAGCATTTGCACCACTTCATAAACTGTCATTAATGAGTCTACCTTTCATATCTACAGTTTAATGCAGCACCAGAAAGTCTCTCTCGACATCAAACTCTTTCTGAGTTTCTCCTCTCAGTATGTGAGTGACATACAACCCATCTATAATCTTGCAGCACAAATGTAATTAATTTCCACCTCCTCTGGCTGCTAATTCAGGAAATCTTTGTCACTTTAACAGATTAATATCCTCTTGAACACACCCAAAAAAAGGGAAAACACTACATGCAGAATGATTTCCTGCTGCTATGCAAAAAAGACATCCAATATCTATTCGTGCAGTCACTCCCTTGGTGTGTAATCCATTTGTGTGAGAACTCAGAGATTTAACCACTTCTACATGAGAAATGCCCTTCACTGAAAACACCGTCCTGTCCTGGAAATCTGTGTTTTTCCCACTCATGCTATTGCAGCTTTTTGTTAGGTGTTACAGAAAGCATATACAGTCACCCGCCACTTTATTAGGTACACCTGTACATTTCATCGGCAGTAGCTCAACATATTTAGGTGTCCAGACCTGATCATGACAACCTGCTCAAGTTCAAATTGAGCAACAGAACTTGGAAGAAAACAATTTTGAATGCCTCGTGGCTGTTGGTGGTCTGTGAATTTCAGAAACTGCTTATCTGCTGGGATTTTCCTACACAACCATCGCTAGGGTTTACAGAGAGTGATCTGAAGAGGAGAAAATATGCAATGAGCGGCAGTTGTCTGAGTGAAAATGCCTTCAGAGGAGAATGACCATCCTGCATAACTTGTTGCCAGTGTTGGGACTAACGGGTTATTAAGTAACGCGTTACAGTAACTACGTTATTATTGTGGTAACGAGCACGGTAACTAGTTATTATGCCAAAATCAGGAACGCGTTACTCGTTACTGGGATTTAGATAGGGTCGTTATTCGTTACTTCGTGTGGTGGCTATCGCGGAGCTTCCACAGATTCAGTAACATTAGCAAGTGGTGGAGGCAGCAGGTGGATGAAGGAAAGGGGAGGGAGGAGGAGGAGAGACCTAAAGCTGCTGGTCATGATATGGTTTGGTTATCTGGTGAGAGGGAAACATGAAGATGAAACCAGGAGATGTCCTTACTGGATCATCAGAGCTGAACAGGTGATGGAGAAACAGGTTTACCTTTTAGGTGACATGAATGAGTTGAAGGGAAGTTATGAACTGTTTCTGAGAGACAAAAAACCCCAGGATCCTTTTTTATGTAGCTGACAGCTGATAACTGTGCAGGGGCGTGTCTAGCAAAGTTTTGCCAGGGGGGCAGGTAGGGCATTAACAGGGAAAGGGGGGCACAAAGAAGTTAAAATTAACTTAAAACCAAAGTTACTTTCCCTAGTAACTAGTTACTTTGAAAGTAACGAGTAACTTGAAGTAACTGAGTTACATTTGATAGAAGTAACTAGTAATGTAACTAAGTTACTAATTTAAAGTAACTTACCCAACACTGTGCTTGTTGCGACCAAGGTGTGCAGAAAAGCATCTTACTAGCAGCAGAAGACCATGTTGGGTGTAACTCCTGTCAGCTAAGAACAGGAAATGTGGCTACAATTCAAATTTACCCCAAGTGGAAAATAGAAGATTGAAAAATGTTTTTTTCTCTGATAACCGCATTTATCCATGCTGCCTCGTGTCAACAGTCAGGCTGCTGGTCTTATGGTGTGGGGGATAGTTCTTCGGCACACTTTGGCCCCCTCAGCACCAGTTGAGCATCATTTAAACATCACAGCCTGCCTGAGTTTTGTTGCTGACCATGTCCATCCATTTATGACCACAGTGTACCCATGCTTGACATGCTATGAAGTCAATATGGCCCCAAATCTCTGAGGATTGTTTCCAGCATCTTGTTGAATCTGTGCTAGTAAGAAGGCAGGTCTGAAGAGAAAGAGTCCAGCCCGATACTAGCACATGTACCTAATAAAGTGGCTAATAAGTGATTTTACTGCATCACTTTGGTAAGTCGGTAAATATGTTGTGGACTCATGTCACACCATAAGCTCCCACCAACATTTTAAACAGTTCAAATTGGACTTGACGTTTGTTTGTTTGTTTTTTTCAGCTTGTCTTTTAATTCTTCCACATCATTCACACATTTTAATTTCTTTCTGTGCTCGTGCCTGATATGACAACAACGTGACATTAAGCAATGAACATTTTGACCCGTTTTCAGCATCTTGACCAGAGTGCAAGTACAAGTTCCAAGAGCTTACCTTCACACAAAAGAAGAAACAAAACTCAGAGTTGCCAGAGTCAGGAGTAATCCTTCAGTCTGAGAGTTTGCCTTTGCTGATAAAGGAAAACAATGAAACAACCCTGATCCCCCTTTTTTGTTTCCAGGGGCAGATCTCCACTGCTTGTTTCACACCGGAGACACAGGCGACACTGAGCTGGGCTGTCCTGATAAAAACGGACTGACTGGAGCTGCTGATGACATCACACGCTTGTCTGCTGTGACGAGACATCCCAGGAGAGCAACGATGAGCATTACAACGCAGCTGGACATTAATCATATAGATGAAGGATGTGAGGATGTAAGTGCTGTGACTGAACAACGGATTTATTGCTACCTGTAGCTTTACTGCATAGAGAGTTTTATAGCCTTAAGAAATGACTGCAAATGTATAGCACTCATCGGCGACCTTATGATGAGTGGAAGCAGGACGAAAAACAATAAAATGACGCAATATATAATAAATCACTGTGCATTTGGACCTTTTTTATTTATTTATTTAACTGCAGAAACCGAACCAAAGAGCATGAAGGTTTTAATTCCTTAACAAAGGCGACCTCTGCTGGGCAAAAATAATAAATAGAGCCGGCACTCCATACATCCTTGATTTAAATCTATGGGAATTTATCTTTAAACATAACTGAAACCACATCACAGATTTGTGTGGAACAAAATCAGTAGATCGAAAGCAATGTGGGCTGTAGCTCATCTTATGTATTAGACTGGTAATCTGTAAGAGCACGAGCTGTTCTGTGAGATTTTACAATTTATATTCACTGACCACTTTATCAGATGCTGGAAACATTCCTCAGAGATTTTGATCGATGTTGACATAACTGTACCACACACTGTGGATAAATATTATACAAGATAATCTGTATGTACATAGAGTTTTGGCCTTTTTAACAAACAGTTCACAGCTGTCAACAGAATTGAAAAAAGGGAACTTCAGATCCTTAAGTGTGAGAGGATAGCGAGGGTTCAGCTTTATTCCAGCTGTGAGAGACGAACTTCACATTTGAGAGACTGTGATGATTCGTTTCTCTTTGTGATTACAGGAGCTGCCCTCAGATTCAGACCTCAACACCACCCGGTGACAAAAATAAAATCATCCTGTGTGTTCACTCTTTATGCTAAGAAAGTTAAAGGCAAAAAGTTAAACTCGGTTGTTACCTCTGGGGAATCATCATGTATTTAAGATGACTGGAACACCCCTGCACACTGTGCATCAGCGCGAAAGAGCGCACTATATTGAGTTTTGAGGTTTGTGTAATTTGGCATGTTTTGAGGGTGTCGTTTTTTGTATGGTTTTGTGTAGTTGGTGTGCAGGAGAGTCGTTTGTTTTTGTTTTGTGTGTCAAAACAATGAGGGCACTACTGAATGTCACAGTTGCTAACCACCAAAGGCAGAATGCATTTTTAGGTAAATGGTTGTGTACACACTTTGTCTGGGTCATTGACAAGCGTTTGAAGTCTTTTCATTAGTCTTTTTTCTCCTTAATATGTTTAAAACTTAGAAAATAAATTCAGTGGAACACCCCACCCAGTCAACACACACAAGTGGGGCCCAAATGTGGAGTAGCAGGGCTAATATTTGGGGCCCACTTGGGAAACCAGCTAATTTTGTCCTCTGTTTCCATGGTGGCCCAAAATGTGTTTGTCCAATTGGATTAATCAAATCAGGCCCAGCCAAAAGAACATGTGTGTGGCCCAGATGGGTAGAAGCACGTTTGATATTTCGGACCCACTTCGGTTACCCGCCTGGGACCCAGCTATTTTTGTCCTCAGTTTCCATGGTGGCCCCAAGTGTGTTTGTCCAGATGGGATTTTGGATAATACAGTAAGCTATAATTTAAATCACCTGTACAACAAAGACAGTTTATCTTTTTTATTTATACAGACTAATGTGAAATTTTAACAGTATGCTTTTTTAATATAATACTTTTTTTGTTTATAACATATTGACTAATATGTCCAATGTATACACAAAAAAATAACAAATCAATGTGATACAGTTTAAAAGAAAAAGAAATGCAGCGAACCACAGCTTTTCACTCATTCACCGATCATTGGTCCTGGAAAAAAATATTAGTGCCTTTTTTAACAAACAACATCAGATTTACGATACTACTTGAGTTGTTTTGGAGGTTGTGCTGATCAAGTTGTTTGACCCCCTACACTGAACTCACATGGCAACAGAAAAGCTATTTACAAAAGGATTAACCAAGTAGGCGCTCAAAAATCAAGTTAATGAGAAATATTTTACCTTATATCATCTGAATTGAAGACAACTGTTTAAAAGACAGTGTCTCAGTGATGGACAAAGCTTAGAACAGGTAAGTGGTTAACCAGTTTGTTGCATGGTGCAGAAACAATCACCTCATAATGAACACAAAAGAATGGATGATTGTGGATTTCAGGAGGAGCAGGAGTAAACAAAGCACGGTTTATATGCTGAGAAAGGAGGGAGAAGTCTGGAAATGTAACAACGACTACATCAAACAAAAAGAGAACAGATTCTACTTCTTGAGGTGTGTGCCAGGTGGGCACCGAATATATAATAGGGCCATCAGATAAAGTTTGGGAACGACTACTTTAATGTCTACACCAAGATGCGGAATATCTTCTCCAAGTCTCTTGTGGAAATTTCAATCTGCTTTCCAGCCATTTGTTCGGGCAGCAGCATCAGAGTCAGTGAGTTTTAAGTCAGTTGTCAGTCAGTTGTAATTAATTTTACCTCCACAGTTTGTACAGTCTAACTAAACCTAGTCACTAAGGTATACCACTCTTGCACAAGTCACTGTGCCCTTGCCATGCGGGTTCCTCCTCTAGCTCTTGCACCAATAAACCTGCCTTTTCTGCCTCTATTTTCTTCATCTGGCTGGTAAGAGCATTTTTTTCAAGCTGCCTGTAAAGCACGGATATTCACCACAAGAAAGTGAGACTATATTACTGAATCTAAAGACACAGCTGTTGTTGTCTTTTCCCTTTTAAACATGCTTATATTTATACTGTGACACTGCATAAAATCTTACATAAATGCAAAATCAGAGTATAAAAAAACTTAAGTGACTGATTAAATTGTTTGGCAGAACGACTACAGCTGTAGTGAGCATCTGTTATTCAAACATCAAGAAAATATCTTACAACTAATGAGCTTACCATATAGCACTTCAAAAACTTTAAGCCCTCAAAATTCTCGCTTTCCATGGCGCCCAACGAAGTTATATTGCCTGAAAAGAGCACTTACAGTAATGAAGGGCATCATTCTTCTTGTGGTTTCATCAACAGTGCTCCCTCCAATCTCTGCCACAACAGCAACCTTAGAACAGACAAGGACATTAATTTTACTGACAGCAGTACCTTCAGTCACACCTAAAAGAAAACAAGCAGAGCTACACAGTAATTAGACTTAATAATATTCATGCAATTTGACTGAGAGAGAGTTAAGTGTTTGCTGGGCATGTTCTCATTTAGACACACCCCTGTGTGTCAGTTATCTGTTTTGCAGAGAGAGCGATGCTGCTACCAAAGCAAAGTTATGAATAAATTTGCGGATACCTTCCCCGGATTGTTGAGACTGAAATCAAGTGTGTAAGTAACTTTAAAAACTGATCTAACATTGTAGAGCAGCAATTTGGACTGGTCTCCATTTCAAGAGCTTTGCCACAGATTGACCATCAGCCCCAAACATCATCTCTGACTCCCGGTCCCGTGGATTATTCCTCACCCTCTGAGCCACATGCTGTACCATGGCACCATGAACTCTAAGGAGAGAAGAGAACTTTTTCGTGTTATTATTGATGATGTCCTGTGTAAAGAAAATATATTATATAAGACATGCAGCCTGTACTGTGGAAGCCGGATTGCTCAGGGGTGTTTTATCATTTGTCATTGTGTTACAGTTTGACCGTGCTATTTTGCTTTGTTTTTTAATGTCAATTTTATGTCTAAGATGTTACGCGACAACGTGTTATTTTGTGTTAAAGTTCTTCTCATGTCCTGCTGCATAAATGCGTTTTAACTGAACATAGCGAGGAGATACCAGTCTATCCGATCTTTAAGTCTGATGTAATTTGCTGTGTCTGGGCCCAAACTCTGCTGCAGGTCCATAAGTCAAACGATCACTGCGGCATCACTGAGAGTTAAAAAAAAACTGTCTAAATTCTTTCATCTGTAATAAAATTAAGGGTGTGGCTGCTCTACCAGGTGTAACAATTAAGATTAACATCCAGGCATCTATGAAAACAGAATTATGAAATTTTACGGAGTTAGAAGTTAGCAGGTGAGTTAGTTCACTAGTTTCCATCTGAATATAATGTACCATGTTCTGACTGACAGATTTCTGAAACAAATTAAAACATACAGCTCTGCTTCTGACATAAATGAAGACAGGAAAGTAAACAGCAGTGACGTATGTAGGGTTACTGAAGTTGGGCTAGCTGGTTTATAATAATGAGCTACGTGATCGCTAGCAACACAGCTATGCATAATATAACAGTGAATCTGGAGGACAAAGGCTAACTTCTTCGACTTGATAAAAGTTAGAGTTCCCAATGGTTAGGGACAAATACAGTCGCATGGCAGGATGCTGTAAATGGACCAAACTTCAGTTATGAGAACAACTGAGATAATCTATCCACAGTATATGAGGTTAGTCATTAATATACTGCTGCATGGGCTGGACTGTAGTTACATCGTAAGGGTTTAAAAGCTGAGCTTTAAAATGAATAGCGGTAATAAAAACCGAGAGAGGCCGACAGTGATTACTCACTGTTTTTAGGGGCTTGTTGAGATTAAATAGAACAAGATACAAACCATTAAGATATGTTAAAAACACAACAGCCAATTAAATGCAAAGTAGTTGGGGCCTGGAAGCAGGGTTCATCACATCATCACTTAAAGACTCTAATGCTTTTCTGGATGATGGCTGTTTCTCTTCACAGTTCTGTTCAAAACACGGTGACCGTTGGTCTATTTAATAAATGTTCATCCTGTTTGGCCTAAACGTTAAAGCGTCATTTCAGTTTTTTCGCTTTCTGTGATTGAGTTTGGTATCCCTGCTTTATGGAGCTCAAACCAAGGCAAATTTTAGGTGATTACACTGTCCCTTAAATTTATTTTTCATTTCTTTACTTATTTTGTGACACAAAACACCTCAGTGT